CCAGAGGGAAGACGGAGTTGAGATTCCTGAAGTTCTACGTCCATACATGGATGGGGTGACATTCATGCCTTTCCAGACCCCTCCAGCAAAAGAAGCTAAAGGAAAGAAGTCAAAAGCATGATTGTTCTAAGAAACTTAAATATCCATTGTGAAAGAGCTGAAGCATGTATTCTCTTGAACTTGGACCCTCCTTTTAAGGAGCCCGAAGAGGAATAAGGGAAGAAGGCAACGGCAACTAATTTTGAATTTTGAAGTGTAACAAACAAATTAGAAAACAGCTTATTAAGTGGGATCATTGACATAGAAAGGCAGATTGCTATATTTCCCACTTGATTTCATTATTGGTTTAAGTTAATAGATTGCTTTTGGACACTCCTATTGCTGTACTGCTAGATGTTACTTGCATGATTATTCGCACTTCTTTGAACCTTTATTTTGTTTGTGATCCTTGCTGTAGATGCAATTGTCAGTAATTGATTTTCTGAACCCAAGGATTTAAAGTATTGGAGTGGTTGGTACTTGGTAGTATTAGAAATCTCATGACTATTTTACCCATTATGGTGCCCCATAGTGTGTGCCTGTCCATTTTCTCTCAATTGTATCATAGGATTGTGGCTTATTCGTCGAAAATGGTTTTAACTGGTCAAACAACTTATTTTTGTAACTTGTTAAAGCAAATGCATATGTTCACATATTAGAAACTTTATTCACTCATCAGCTAAATTAGTACCGAATTCACCTTTGTTTATTTGATCAGAAATTCTAACGACAGTCTGCTAATTGTTGCACTTGTGGTAGTTTTACATTGCCTTCTTGGACATTGGAGTGAATTTTTCCTTCTTAAGCAATAGCTTTTTTAGGATACAACGAGATATTTTTTCCAGAATATTATAGATGTGCTTTGATACATGTCCTATCAAATCTTGGGTTCTACCGACTACCAGTTTTCAGAGGCAAATTGTTGTACGCAAGGGAGGTTAGCCTAAACTACAATATCAGAAAAGCGAGAGTATAACGAACTAATTAAACTCAAAGTTGCTTTTTGAAATAATTCAAAATAGGACTTAAACTTAACTCTTTAGTCTTTAATCAATGTGATAAGGGACCTACAAGTGAGGTTGATTTTAACGCGTGGACGTAATAACTTTTTCTAAAGACTTTGTCATATATCCCCATGGAAATATTACGCTCATGGCCTGCAATTAGTCAAATTAATGAGGAAAAATGGCAATTATACATGTATTATTTAAGTCAATAAAGGATGCTTTAGACTTATTCTGCAAGCTTCAAAGTCTCATTCAATGTTCACCGGTCCATGCACTCCACTAATGAGCCTCTTAACTAGGGGCGGAGCTACAAGATTATGTACAAGTTAGTTATATTCTAGACTAAACTCTAAAATTCTGACTCCCTCTTTAATGGTAACAACAATGCAACTAAACTTAAACCCATACACATGTGTAAACTACTTCCAACACTAAAAAGAAAAGCAAGAACGAAGTTGTTACTCCATAGAACTTTGAACTCACTATGATATAAAATTTTCGGAAATTCTGTATACTTTCTATGAAGGATCTTTTCACTATTGTTAACCTTCACTTGTTTTCTGGCAGTTCACTTTCTTCTTTTTCTTTTTTCTTTTGCAGTGGCCTGGTTTTTACTATACTGGAGAAAGAAATTAACACTCTGATTTTACTAAACTAAAAAGAGAATAATATATTCTTATCATGAGTTGTTAGTGCCAGAGAAATGGAAGCTGATGTGAGTTTAAAAGGAAACGGAAGCGGGTTTCACAAGTTAATTAATTAACGAATGAAAGAATAATATAAAAACGAGACTGAAAGCTCTAAGGGTTTCCAGAGCTGTTGATTACAAAAAATCAGAAAAAGAGTAGTAAAGAAAAGCATTACAAAAAAAATTAGACAGAGGCTTTTGGCCATATATTATTAGCAGAATGACAATGTTTCACAACCCCTTCCAGAGCAATGGTTTTTTTTTTCTACCTTTCATGCAAGGGGTTGTGAAGCATCTTAATCATACCATTCCGTTTCTCTAACATACAAATGTAATTAAGGATAGCTGCTTGCATTGTGGACAGATCTAGTTACCCGATATCTTTGCTGGTGGAAGATAATAATAGAAGCGAAATAGCCGAAGTGCATGCAAACGAACGAGACCTTATGATTAAAAGCTTTAGCTTTAGTGATTTATGTACAACTATCTCTGATGTTTTTCTTTGCTGATCACCTATTAATTGTGCAAGGGATCAGGAGAAGAGGGCACTTCTCTATTGACATATGCAACAAAACCTTCATTCCCAATACGGCTGCTTCTTCTACTTCTATTTGTAGCTGTAGGACTTTGTGCATCTTCTTCCATGTTATTTGGCAAGTCCCGAGCTCCCAAAACCTCAGCTGAAAACGTCAGAAAGATCAACAAAAGACACCATATAATATATACTATACTTCTTTTTGCAGGCATGGCCCTTAATTTTTTCTCACAGTTTCTCTCTTGCCTTTTCTCTAATCAATTCCAAGAAAAGATTGCTTAATTAACCTTGTGTGAGAAAAAGATGTATATGCCTACTGAACCAAGAGGAAAAAGAATAACTGCTTTGAGGGAGCTGAAATAATTTGCATGGTAGCTAATTTTAAGGTGTGTGCTACACAGACAAATATTGTTCTCTTTCTCTTCCAGAGTATTTGTGTGAAAAGTGAAAAGTTAGTCAATAGAAAGGGCTTTCGGTTTTGTGGGGGTTTTTTTTTTTGGGGCGGGGAGGTTTGGCATTTGGTTGGAAATTGATTTAATAATTTTAAAGAAGTAAAAATCTTGGAGAAGTATATATGGAAATATGGATGATGACAAATTAAGTGTAATGTCAGCCAAACAGTCATGTCTAAAATTCTTAGAAATTTCTACCAATAGGCTTTTTCAATAAGCCTTTAGGTGAAAAGCCACATACCTTAAATTCAGGATCTAACCTTTGACTCTAGCTTAGGATGTTTCTGCCTTTTATGCACTATGTTTCTCTCTTTCCCTAAAGTCTAAAAAACACTAAAACCCTAATGTTTGTGCAAATATCTAGGTACCGTACAACTTAGTTTAGCTCTTGTGTTGACTGAGACCTAATTTATTACAATATACATGGCTTTGATTTCATAATCAAAAGGGTACTTACCTTTGAAGAAACAACACATTTTTCATTAAGGCATCTTTAGCATTTTTGTTTTGTTTTATTTTGCGTTAGACTTCTTCCTTGATTTAATACTATCTTTGTTTCTTCTTTTGTTCTTACTTGTGGCACCTCTCTTAAAAGTAGAGATCTGTACTTTAATTATCTTAATGCTTGGATTTGTCTTTGCTTAATTTGAGGCATTCCTTTCTCTCTCTCACACAAACACACACTATAAACTCTTGTGACGTTTTGTTTAATTATAAAACGAGTTATTAGTACTGTTTCTTTTGCATTATGTTGATGTTGATTATGCTTTTCTGCGCAAAAGCTTTAACTCTTTCTCCAATAGGTTAATTAGTTACTAAAGCTTCTTGATAATTTCTGACTTATATATGATGCGATAACAGACACCGTTTTCTTGATAAAACATATGAATTTGAGTAGTAGTAGAAGAAAATATTAAAACAATTACGACCGAAAGTTATATGAAATAAAGAAACATCTCTAAATTAAAATTTTGATTTGGACTATTAAAAGTTATGAACGTTATATGAAATTCCTGTTAAACCCTTCTCTAAAGATTTTATTACTTGGTGGTCTTAAAACTGTATATTCTCAACTTCTCATATGCGTTCCAAATCCCTACTTACTCTTTAAAGAGGGAAATCGCTCTACCAAAAGGAATGTATGTCACTGAAATTGTAGGCGGCAAAACCATGTTTGGGCAACTTGTTTTTCCTTTTTCTAATGCCTGATTTCTTAATAAGCAAACCAATATCTCTAATGCACTAAATTACGTATCGGAAAATGAGCACTTAGCCGCCCTCTTGGTTTTTGAAATTTTTGTATACTTTTGAAATATACCTTGAGAAAAATGTCCTTTCTCCTTCCTCCCTCGTTGTTTTATTGCCTAATATAAAAAGAACCTTGACTGTTTTATATGTAATGAAGACATCAAATATACATCATAACCTATAGTAAGTACACGGCCATGGCAATTACTTTTTAATGACAAATTATTTTTCCAACAATGACGCTTTAGCTGAACTCACTACACGTGTTGTTACTATTTTACAAGCTTAGACTTTGAGATTATGATCTTGCGTTGGGATCTTCGTATATGCTACTAACTCCGTCACTTTTACTTGGCACGTTTTGACTTTTTACGCCCCTTAAGAAATAATAAATGAAGTGCATAATTTACCATGTTACTCATATTAATTGATGCATATTTTATTGGATTTGAGAAAATGATTTAAAATGGTAATAAATATTGTGGGTAAAACAAGAAAATATTTGTTGTCTTCTCTTGATATACGTAAAGTGTGAACATCTATTTTTAGTATACATGCCAAGTAAAAGTGACCGGAGGGAGTAACTCATAATTTGCTTGCAATAGTTGTTTCCTTTGTTTTAGTCGACTTGGTAATTTACATAGCAAAGCTCCAGAACGAGGATATTTTAATAGTTTATAAATTCGTCCGACTAATTTGGTCTTCTTAAATATATATTAGCTAATGAAAACTAGTAATATATTGAATGAATAGAATTTGTATTTCATATGTCAAGATAAAAATTGAAAAGAAACTAACAAAGTCGTAAAAATATAATAACACGCTATAATTTTCTTGCTTTGGTCTGTGGATCGCCATCTTATACTCTAATGATCTGACTATTAAGAGAAGTAGAATTAACAAGTTGCAGCCGCAAGAGTTGAGAAAATTGCAGTTAATCATTACAATCTTATTTTGACCGTCAATGGAGCAAGCAAAGTAAGAATAGGTAGATACCATGTTGAAAATTAGGTCATTCAAGGGTCATCATGGCAAGCAAAAGTATTTCCGCATGGTTTGATTATCTTGTAAGTGGACTTGTAGGAATTTGCTAATCAGTCTTGACATTACAATTAAATCCCCACTAAACACAAATGTTTGACTAAATCATCGACCCTCGAACTCCCAGACCACTATTAAAGCTCAAAAGTGTGACATTCTCAATAAGAAGACCACAAGCTGAGAACCTTTTGATGAAACTATATTATTGTATATCGTCAAAAATGAATGAATACAGTTCCGTTTCAATGACCAAGCACACTTACAGTCGAGTTGATACCAAGAACAGTGTCCTTTCTCTGTTATTTATATGACATGTTCCAACCGAGCCTAGTCGCATTCCAATAATTTTGTAGTTATACTGTGACGTTGAACAAGTAAACCCTCAGTACCAAAGCAAGTGCAAGTTGCAACAGGAAGATAGCAGCCACAATGAAGAACCACCTTTCACCAGCCGATACTATGTGGTGTTTCAGATTAAGAGCGACAAATGTGGCAGACATTAAGCCAGCTACACCAGCAACCACCCATCTCACTATCTCCCAGGGAACAAGAGACAGACACTGTAAGCAGTTAATCATAGATCTTAGTATGGATCCTAATGGCAAACTTAAAAATGAAAGGATTCATCAAGCAACAGGTTTCCCAAAAGTTCAACAAAGTATACTGTAATTAAATAAACTTACCAATGCCGGAATGAAGACAAAAAGGGAATAGCCGTAAAGGCACAGCAGCTGAACGAGGCCAGATGGGGCAGAGAAGTACTTGAGGACTAGAAACAAGCAAAGAGGAACTACAGTGGAATAACCATAGAATAAACCCGCAGACCAAGTGACAAGGTTGATGTCATAGTTCCACTCCTTTTTCTGTAGCTTGTGTGCTATATAGGTAACAAACGTGCCAATGGAAGCTGCAACAAATACCAAGGTACTGCATATCCAGAACGGGCCATACCTGAAAAGAAAAAATTGAGTAATTACGGTAGAGAAGTTCGCTAATATGGAAATAATTGAAACATACACTCACAAGATCTTAAGGGGCAAAGAAGTCTAGACACCACCCAGTACAGATAATGGCTGCATAAGCATCTAGCAATAGTTTAAGTTTAGATGCAAAGTTTGCGGACATCATTTCTGTTCCTGCACTGCACCCTTTAGCAAAACTTCCCTGCAGGCAAGTTCTGAACAAGCGTCTTCTTACTCAGAGAGCATGTAAAGCTGGGCTAAAGACGAACAGAGGGGCAGCAGTGGCAAAACTTCACTTGCTAATCACTGTTCTTTTCTTTTTTAAATTCTTTTAGTAGGTTGTTTGATGGTTATTACTTTTTTGTCCATGAAGGTACAGTTGAAATATCACATGCGCAGTTACAACTCCACAAAGCAAACCAAGTGTCAATCAAGTTAAAAAAGAGCAAGGACTTAAAAAGCAGTCATAATGTATCATAAGCCCAACAACTGAAATAACTTTTCATGAAACAAATATGCCAATAATCACCATTATGAGCTCTGCCGCTTGCCAATAAACAAACATGTGCTTTTATATCACGGTCATACGTAACACAGGAACATGCATAAAGAAGATGAAACAAGAGGAATGATTAGCTGAATGATTCACACCCCCCACCCCCACCCCAAAAAAAAAGTAATACAAATTTGGAACAGAAACTTAAGAAATAACAGGTTCTGAAGTGCAAAACGGCATGTCTAAACAATCCTATATAATAGAAGATAGATATAGGGACAGAAGAAGAAATCAAAACGAAAGCACATACATTCTAGAAGGGAAATCTGATGACTTGCACAAAACTCACTAGCTTTAGTACAATGCGCAGGACAAATTCCAACTCGAAAACGACAAAGATACCAGCCCAAATTATTCTTATTGGTTCTTCTGTATGCCTAATGGTAATTTTCAAAATATACCGCCAGAGATTTGAAACAAACTCCATCTAGTTAAATGTAAGAATTGTTCCATATCCATTAGCCTGAATTTACACAACCCCATTACAGCCTGCATTTAATGCATGGAAGTTTCCACAATAAATCATTATTCAATTCGAGCAAGTTAAGCATAGTGGTTGCCCATTGGCAACCTCCTAGCAGGTAAATGCCTCTTAGTCGAGGACTAAATAGCTGATCAATGAGAATATTGTAGGATGAAACTGATAGACAGGGATATTAATTAACGGTCATCTCATCCAAAACCATAATAAGAAATTAGAACGATATCATTCAAGAAGAAGAAAGTGTTACTGGGAGCAAGATATATTCTTGGTCTCCTATAAACTGCCAACTTTATTCATCCGTGGTAAACGGGAAAAAACAGGGCAGAGAATTGATAGAAGTGAATGGGATAAGAATTATATAAATGCCATTTAATAACGGTAGAAGCCCAAAGGCCTATATTTCCAGGAAATAACTACTCATAATAAGTTTTTATAAGAGTTATACTTAGGATTAAAACACGAGAATAAATGCTAATTCAATAAACATAGAAATAAAAGAGCAGGGAGCATACAAATCTGGGTTATTGGCGGTCTTCTCCGAAAAGGATCCCGTGAAAGGAAAGAGTGAATCTTTTATTCTCTCCAGAACATCTGATGTATCAACATCAAAATAGGGCTTGTACGCAGCAATAGTGAAAGCGCGAAACCAACCGCTCTGCTGGGGCTCATCAGAACCAGATACTGGTTTAGAGAATGTATCTACAACAACAAGTCATAATTATTATCTAAAAAGAGAAGTAAATTCAACCTGAACTGTGGAAAGTGGAGAGGGAAAAATAGATTTGCTAATAACTTAATGAAAAGGACGCAATAGCATGACTCACAACTTCCTTCAGTTAAGCTTTGAGAGTTAACTCTTTTTAGAGATAACAAAATAACTCTATGAAGAAGCACCAGATGAAACGTGCAATTTTTTTAGGAGAAGAAAGATACTGTGATCAAACTCAAACACAATTATATATCTTTGCTTAGTTTTTGGTGCAACATGGCTGTGGAAAATGTGTTAGAGCCCGAAGCCATTTTGGACTTCCTCCGTTCATTGCATGACTTGTGATGCACATACTTTTTTGAATATACAACTAAGCAGCACTTTGTTGTCCGCATCAATAAACTTTACCTTATCAAAAAGAAGCACCGGATGAGACAACCTGTACGGAACTAGGTATACCTAGACTAAACATAACCACATTATTGTAATCCCTCGAAACCGATCCTGGGACTTCCTTGTAT